TTCAATTACCGTGATGTACAGTATAGAAAAAAGTTACATATATATATATATATATATATATATATATATATATCATAAACTATATTAATCCTGGGATATTAGTTACTCGTGTGTTTCTCTAATAATCAAATTAGCTGCGGCAAAACACTCAGTAACAACAAATAAGAACACTTTTTTAGTTTTCATTCAGTTAAACAAAGGACGCCATCTTGAAGCGTCCATTTAAACCTGTTCCTTAAGTTACACATTATGCCGTTGTATCACAGAGTATTAATTCAATTATTTTAATCTATTTCCCCACATTTGAAGAAGATTCTATGGATAAATACAATGATAATAATAAATAGTGGACGTTTTAATACGATATATTTCCTGACGACCTGCTGCCATTTTTAAAAGATAAAAGATGTTATTTATAGAAAACGAGTCCAAAATTAATCACAGAACACAATAATTGTTTCAGGTGTAACTATTTTTGTCAAAGCTACAGCCAATAATTATTGGCTGTAGCTTTGACAAGCAATAATACCAATTATAATTGGTATTATTGCTTTTCCACGCCACGCATTCCTACCATTAATCTATTATCATATTCGAATAAGATGTCTAATTATAAGATAATTTTCATCTATTACATTACCGGCGCAAGTGTACAATAACGGAGAAAGCGTATCCAAAATTTTCTCTATTTTCTTTCATTAAACTTCCGTCATTATCGCCTACCTCACCTCCAACACTGCGTGTCTCCTTCCTTCATAAATCATCACGCACATTCGTTCTCGTACACGTCATGCTGCCAATCAAAAGCGTTTATTTTTTAACAAACAATTAAAATGATTTTGGGTTTAATTCGCGGTATTTTTGGCCCAATCAAATTCAATTTTTATTTTGGGTCTCTCATAATTTGAAATTCAAATTTATTTTCGACCATGGAAATCTGCGATGGGTGCCACTTAAATTATATAGAGCTTATTGCGACTTTTTGGGAAAAAACGAAGAAACTATTGCATTTTTTCGATCCCATGGTGTTCTTCCAACCTCAGTAAAGTTTTCGAAGTGCAAGACTGAATGTAAATATCGCAAAGAACAACATATGTGGAGTTGTGTAAGAATATCAGAATCCATCGACGAACAAGAACCTGGCCAATAAGGTAAGAAATAGGTGATTCCATCATATGGTGAGAGTCAGTTAGGTTTGGTTAGGTTTTGTTTTGCTTTGTTTTTCTAGTGGTTTTTGGTGTATTATTCGCTTAGCCATTATTTTTTTTTCCGAAAGCGTCCAACGAAAAAAAATTCGATAAAAAAACCCGGCCAATTTCCGCCGTAAATGAAGGTCATATTCGGTCTAAACACACACAAATACTGTACACTTGAAAAATATATTTTTGACTTTCTAACAGTGTGGTGCGCTTATGCAAATTTACCAAATGTTACTATACAGTATATATTCCATTATATATGTTTCTTTTATTATTCTTGCAGATTATTATACCTAAAATTCTAAAAATAAATATTGTAAGTAATGTTAAGTTGTTTTGAGCCGTAGATAAGGAGTAAAAGACGTAAACACGCGACAGTTAGGTGATTGTAGTGAGGTGTAGCGAAATATGATACAGTATAAGGAAGGTATACATGAAGAAATATAACCCACATATTGTAAATAAAACTAATGTATACTATTTCATCAATATATAAAAAGCCAATACATTTATCTTGCCAGAGTCGTAATTCTAGTGATAACTGATGATAATATTTTGTTTTTTACGACCGAGTGAATCACATCAAACTTAACAACACGCACATGTACATTACACCGCCCTTCAGGATTTATTGAACAGTCTCCAAAACTGGGCCACCAACAACCACGTCACCATCAATCATACCAAGACCATGGTTATGCACATCAAATTCTCCTCCGACGTTGTTCCACCCCTTCCATTACTTTAGGTCCCAACACACTTTAGGTTGTAGATTTCACTAAGCTCCTCGGCGTCACCATAGACAACAAACTAAATTGGAAACCACACGTCAGTGAAGTTGTCAAATCCTCCAGTTTCCGTCTCCACCTCCTACGCCGACTCAAGTCCCTTGGAGTTCCTGCCCCCGAGGTCCTCAGTGTTTACTCAACACTCATACTTCCCAAGCTCACCTATGCCTCCCCTACCTGGTCTTCCTCCCTAAATGCCACACAATTTAAACACCTAGAAAAAGTACAAAAGAGGGCATGCAAGATTATTCTCTTCCCTTCCTACTCCACATATCAAGAAGCACTCAACACACTGACCCTCTCGGCTCTCTCTGACCATCACAACGACCTCATCTGCAAATTTGGTGAGAAGCTTCTGCACCATCCTTGACACCGGTTCCTACTACCACCCGAGATCCCTCGTCCGAGAATTGCTGTTCGACACCACAACCGCATCCAGCTAAAACGAGCACGAACTGATCGCTATAAGAACAGCCCAGTCCCAACCATTGTAAAAATTATCAATAACTTGTAATAAACCAGTGTATTCACTCCCAGTCAGTCTTACTTTTTGCACTGTCACTATGTTGAAATGCCCTGTAGTTTGAGCTTCTCCCCACCTAGTTATTATATATCATATTTGTGTCTCTTATGTTATTTGCCATGCTCTTTCAATAAACCGTTAATTATTATTATTATTATTATTGTTTATAACACCGGTTACTGTACACACAGAGAGAGAGAGAGAGAATCCGCTTCCTTGTTGTTTTCTAAGTCAGGTCAAAGAGCTTTGATCCTCGTGTAGATCAAATTTCAGAAAATGTGTACGATTGATGTTCACTGAGTTAAGCCGTTGGGCGACCATCTGTGATGGTGTATTCATGAGAAATATCTTGCTTGAGTCACAAGATTATTTATTCAGAAAAAAAAATATATGATGGATGTACTGTACGGAATAGTTATACAGTCGTAGTTGCTCCAATAACCCTGAGGGGATGGTGGGGCTAACCTCGTAGTTTTAAAGACCCCCCCCCCCCCTTCCGTCAACGGGCTCTTTGTGTTTACAACTCTAGTCGTGAAGGTCACCGCACTACAGCGCTCGACGGGGAGGTGTGGCGGTAAAACGAACTAATTCCAATATTATAAGTTAAAATTTTTGGTACATAAGGAGGCAATAGTCGGCACTGAACTCGGTCGCCTTCACGTCCCCAACTGTAAAGAAGGGACCCATTAGCCGGGTACTCTGAAGGCTTCTCAAATGCGAACCAAGGATCATTAGGACAGAAGGTGAGTTCTGTATTCAGTCGATCGCTGCACACAAGTAGGTGGAAAGGGCAGGTGCGGTGGCTAATCTTTAGGCGAAATAAACAGTGATTCTACAGATCTTACTACGATGGTGATAATTCTGTCCGTTTCAATGTTAGTGAGGTACTGAGACATTATATAAGAGAGAGTGAGAGAGATTGATAAGTTTTCGTTTTACTCCACTGGCCAACTCTCTCTCTCTCTCTCTCTCTCTCTCTCTCTCTCTCTCTCTCTTTCTCTCTCTCTTTGATTCCGATCCGGAGTCAATCCATACCATTTCACCGTCCCTTCTTCTCACTGATTCTGATCCCCAACTTTCCTTAGCACCAGATTTATTGCCGATATCCAGGAGGCGAGACTTGTGGTGGTCCGCGAGTTGGTGAAGAACCTGGTGGTAAAAGTTATGTTTATGGGAAGGTCGTGGCCATGTGTGTGTGTGTGTGTGTGTGTGTATGTGTGTGTGACAGACAGTAGTTGCCAACCTCGTATTCTAACCAATCATTATTTTCCTGCCTTTATTTAATAACCTCAAACAACACGTCTCATTACCTCTCGTTATTGAGGTCACTAATACGCTAAGCTTTCTCTTCGGTCTTGGTTTAATCGGATTTATCGGATTGATAGAACTCATCGAAGTCATTAATTTTTCGGATTTTTCGGATTCATCGGATTTATCAGAGTCAAGAACGTAGGTTATGTAAACACTAGAGATTCAGGGTAAACATCCCAATATACAACACAAAGGCAATCCTCTTTTACAGGCTACAGGATTTCGTTTATATCTCTGTATTTAAAGGGAAATGGCTGAATTTATCCTGTTTTGGGGGGAAAATTATGGGTTTCTGTATCAGTGGCATTAAAGGGATTTTTGTATTTGGGGGATTAAAGGGATTTTTGTATTTGGGGCATTAAAGGGATTTTTGTATTTGGGGGATTAGGCCAAAACATACTCGCGTCTGGTTATGTTAGGTTATGTTAGGTTAAGGTTAGGTTAGGTTAGGTTAGGTGATATTAGCCAGTAAAATAGGTAAAGCTGTCAAGTTTGGTCACCAGAGGGCTACTGTCAACACTGCTCGCCCTAAACACACCAACACACACACACACACACACACACACACACACTTAATACTACCTCATGTTGTCTCATCTCTCTCTCTCTCTCTCTCTCTCTCTCTCTCTCTCTCTCCCTCTGACCCATGTGGAGGTTCAGGGAGAAGGATGTTACAGTGTACAAAAAAAAGTCGTCTCCCTTCACCCTTTTTCACCCCCCACCCTAAGTTACGTACGTATAAACGTCTTGGATACGACTCTCTCTCTCTCTCTCTCTCTCTGACCACCACGAACGAGAGATGTCTTTAATAATAATAATAATAATAATAAGAAGAAACTTTATCTTTTCCACCTCCATTCAAAATCCCTCGCAAATCCTACCCCTCCCCCCACTTCCACACTCAACACCACCCCACAACCACTCTTACCCCCACCCCACCCCGTCCTCCCCACCCCCCCTCACTCCCTACCCCAACCCCCCCCACCCACACACACTCTACCCCAACCCCACACCCACATCCACTCCTACCCCTACCCACCCCACCACCCAACCCTTTCACCAACCATCCAATTGAAGGAAGCCATTTTATACACGCTTATCACTTGCAATTTTATGGCACGAGATGGCGTTACTGAAGCAACTGAAGGTTGTAAACAGTATCATAAACTGAGTCACGTGAACACAAGGAGCATTACACTGTCTGTCTCAAGCAAGTGAGGAAGTGGTGAGTAGTGTTCTGCCGGGGAGCCACCACACTACGAAGGTCAGTGTGTGTGTGTGTGTGTGTGTGTGTGTGTGTGTGTGTGTGTGTGTGTGCCTAGTGTGGCAACATTATGTTAGTGTTAGTGTTAAGGTGCAGGCACTGCTTGCTCCCTCTCGTTTTCAGTTATTGCCGCTGGCTAGCCCTCGTGGCAAACAGGGAAGCAACTTGCATAAGTCTTCCCCTGCCAGTACACAGCCTCTTCACTATCAAGACTTCTGCTGTGCCTACGTGTGGCAAGACACGGTAACTGGGTACCCCGTGTAGCAGTGAGCCCCAGAAGGACGGTGCATAGGCCCACTAGCCTGTGGATACGTCCTGGCGCCTACCAACCACTGCCCCGCTGCCTTGCGGATTAACCTTGGTAGGTATAAGGCTACGGGAGTAAACAAAGAACGAAAAATCTGCAGTGGAGTCCCGCATCAGGCAGACATGCTTACAGAGCTCCAACAAGACCCCAACGGTGGTATAGGTGGAAGAGGTGACCACCAGGGGAACCCAACGAGTACACTGACGGATGAAGGTAATGCATGATTGACAGGCTACTAAAGCGAAACCCAACAAACTGGGATGTCGGCACTCCATTGTAACTCTCCCTCTCCCCAGTCGTTGCAACACTTGCACCACTGATCAGGAAATGGGAGAGCCAAGATACGTGGTTGCAGCCTGTGCTCCTGCCTCACCACATATATCAACTCACGTGCAACCATCATCCAGCTCATGATACTCCTCATTATCATCAAACCCCTATACGCTCAAAAGTCCTATGGTGACGGACAAGTGGCGACGGGGACAGGCAGAGATGACTGCCGGGAGTCTCTAGTCACAACTCTGTACATGGGTGGGACAGATAAGATGATCTTTTATGAACTAGGTAATAGTGCAATCCGGTCCTGTCTGTGCGACTGAGCAACAATACGAAGAACCACTCTGCTCACCCCACATGGGGAGAGGGCTAGAAAGGGTGCCCTAAACATAGTCTGCCTAAAGAACCAACTTGACTAGGCAACCACGCCGAGTAAGGTCATCCTTATGCGGTCAAAAACACAATTATAATCACACACCAAAGCAAATACAAACTATACAACCTCTTATGGTCGCTGGATGGAATGTCAGGATTCGTCTGGATACAGGCACAAATGAGCATCCTGAAAGAAGAACTGCCCTTGTGGCAAAAGAGCTGGCTAGGTATAATATCGACATAGCAGCCATTAGTGAGTCGACTCACAGAACGGGGGTCTGGCTATACCTTCTTCTGGGAGGGTAAACCTGCTGTGGAGAGAAACTGCAATTATGGAGTTGGCTTTGCCATCTACCAATGCATTCTACACAGGCTAACTGAAATGCATTTTTCACCAGAGCATACGCCCCAACACTGGATGCAGAGGATTACATCAAGGAAGCTTTTTACGCCGACCTTGACAGTGCTAACCTCTATCCCCAGAGAAGATAAGGTTGTGCTCCTTGATGACTTCAATGCCAGAGTTGGCAGAGATGCTGACATTTGGCAGGGTACCATAGGGAGAAATGGACTAGGCAAGTGTAATCCCAATGGCCTACTCCTCCACAGCAAGTGTGCTGCACACAGCCTTACTATCACTAATACCTTAGTTAGGCAGACCGATAAGTTCTAGGGATCGTGGCAACACCCACTATCCAAACACTGGCATCTCATTGACTGCATCATTGTCAGAGAAAGAGATTGCCGAGATGTCCTCATCACCCGTGCCATGCGTGACTCAAGCCAGGCTCTCACTTCACGTCGCCCCAAATCGGCAAAGGTAACAAGCCTCCAGAAGAGGTTTTAACACTAAGCGTCTGGAGGATCCGGCAGTGGCACATGCTTAAAGAGAGGAACTTGAACTGGGTTGATAAGCAACCCGACAGCAAACAATCCAAATTCTAGTGCCGAATAGGGTATTCTTGACACTGTCATAACAAAAACCTGCAGAGAGACCCTTGCCAGATCGAAAAAATACACCAGGACTGGTTTGATGAAAATGACCCAGAAATCAATGTACTCGACAATGATAAAGGTGCTGCTTTAACTGACTGGCAGAACAACCCTCAGTCTTGGACCAAAATCGATACCTTACGCAAGAAGAAAGCGGCGGCCCAGCGCAAACTTCGCAAACAAAAGAAAGACTTGTTTAAAAATAAAGACAAGGAAGGCATCCTTTAGTGCTGGAAAGAGCACTACCAATCGTGCTCAACCGAAACACCAATGTGGGTGTCTTGACTACCCAGCAGGCCCCTCAGCATCCAGAGCTAACCCATATCATCTATCTTTCATCCCTGGATGAGGTAGCTACTGCCATTAAGCAGATGAAAAATAACAAGGCCTGAGGGCCTGATGGAATCCCATCCGAGGTACATAAAGCAGGAGGACCTCTACTTACCAGCCTTCTCCACTCTCTCCTGGAGAGTATATGGGAAAAGGAGGAAATCCCCCAAGCTCTTAAAGACGCCTCCATCGTTAATATTTACAAGAGCAAGGGAAACCGACCAGACTGCGGCAACTACCGTGGGATCTCGCTGTTGACTGTAGCTGGCAAAATTATAGACTAAGTCCTCCCAAACAGACTTTTTCCTGAGGCGGAAAACTTACTCCCAGATTCTCAATGTGGCCTTAGACCATCACGTGCCACCACTGACAAGATCTTTGCTGCCCGTCAGATACAGGGAAAGTGCAGAGAACAGCGTCGTGACTTGTACATGGCTATCATCGACCTAACCAAGGCCTTCAACTCGTTCAACAGGGAATCCCCCTGGTGGACCCTCAGCCGTTTTGACTGCCCACCAAAACTCATTGCCATTGTGAGGCAACTCCACGAAGGCATAAACGGGAGTGTTCTGCGCAATGGCACCCAGACTGAGTTCTTCCCCATCCAAACGGGGGTAAAACAAGGATGTGTACTGGCACCAACTCTCTTTTCAATTTTCTTGGCTGCCTCCCTTACTCGTGCTAGTGCCAATTTAGCCGGCGGGGAGTACATCCAGTACCGGATGAAGGGTCTTTTCAACATGAGATGTCTCCAGGAACGAACAAAGGTTTCGGCAGCTTCCATTACTGAACTTCAGTATGCAGACGACCTTACTCTTTTCGATCACACTGAACGCGACCCACAGGAGATCCTGAACATCTAAATAAATGTTTATGCACACTTCGTCCTTGAGGTGAATGTAAGTATGACTCAGATTCTCTTTCAGCCTGCCCCTGGTTCAGCCTCACCTCCAAAATCCATCCAGCTTAATGGTATTACCCTCTCTAACGTTACCCACTTTCAGTATCTTGGCTCTCACCTGTCCACCACAGCGGACATCGATAAAGAGTTTCAATATCGGATCAGAGGTGCATTTCAAGTCCTTGATAGACTCCGTACCCTTGTCTTCAGCTGTAGGAGCTGACATTATCTACAAAGTTACACGTATATCGAGCAGTGATCCTCTCCACCCTGCTATATGACAGCGAGACATGGGTCACATACAGGAGTCACCTCAAGGCACTTGAAAAGTTTCACCAATATAGTCTACATTCCATCCTCCCGAGTTCCCTAGGAAGACAAAAGAACAAATGCTAATATTCTTGCTGACACCAACTGTAGGAGCATCGAGGCTACCATTATCCATGAACTACTACGTTGGACTGGCCATGTTACCCGCATGGACGACAGTAGACTGCCAAAGCAGCTACTTTACAGACACCTAACGAATAGTAAATGTAATGCTGGCGGGTAATTATTGAAAAGGTATAAGGATAGTCTTAAGACAAACCTGAAAAGTGCCAAATCGACCACCTCACCTGGGAGACGATTACTCCACACTGCAAGGCTTGGAGGAGCACCACACAAGAAAGTGTCAATACTTTCGAGTTAGTCCGACTGCAAACCAAGGCAGACAAACGCCAGCGCCGGAAAGACGCTGCTACCTTCCCTCCCGCACTAGATGTAGCCCTCCACATGTGCAACATCTTTGGACGACCCTGACGATCCCGTATCGGCCTCTCTAGTCACCTCAGAGCTCACCAACGAAGGTGACATCCTTAATAACTCTTATCATTGTCTGGATGATCGTCATACTCGATTTCGAGTAACTGCAAATAAGTAGTAGTAGTGTGTGTGTATATATATATATATATATATATATATATATATATATATATATATATATATATATATATATATATATATATATATATATATATATATATATATATATATATATTAGGAGTGACAGTTTGGCAAAAGTTTTCAAAATCTAATTGCTTGGGTTGGATTATTTGTCTATCGGCCACGCTAATTCCGAATATGTTTGAGTTTTTTACATCATTGCATTAGAAGGTTTGTGGATACTTTTGGGTTTGGCATGAAAAACGCGAAAAAACTGTAAATAATAAAGGGACTGGCAATGTGGCACAACCTGTTAAAATCAAGTTATTGAATTGGATTATTCGACTACTGTGTACACTGGTTCATAATATGCTATTGTTTTACAACTCAATGCGCTACAAATTATGCCGATATTTTTGCTGCAAGTCACCACATACGTATATTTCGAAAACCAGGGCCCAATATTACCAACGGCGTGGATAGATTTCGTGGAATGAATTCAGGACATTCCCGCTCATGGAACATTACCAAACTCCGTATATGTGCCAATGGCAGGCGAATCTCTTGTGGTTCTTCTCACCTACACCAGTCACTATCTTGTTCTCATTGATCCTCTCATCTACCATGAGACCTCTGACCTTGAATCCCCTGAACTTTTCTTTTTTCTGTTCTCGTGACCTCTTCCTGACTCTCTCCACTTTCTTCCAGTTAGTCACTTTAGACTTGTCCCCTTCAGTTATGATGTTGTCTGCAGCTCTGATGGTGTTTGCGATGTGAGACACTGCATCATTGGATACCTTGAACCTGTCAGCAGTTTCTCCGATCCTGTCCTCGGCTTCTTTCTCCCTTTTCCTTTTCTCTGATCTTGCTCTCCTGTCGACCATAGCCTTGAACTCATTGTCATTGACATCCTTATAATCACTATCTTCTTCCTGAGCACTGTCATCCACTGCCGACACTTTACACGACATCCTCTCCATCTCCTCCTTACTCTTTGACCTCATCTTCTCAGTTTTCCTCTCTTCCTCAGCCCTTTTCTTTGCCCTCTTCGCTTCCTTCTCCCTCTCTTCTTTCAGCTTGGCAGTCACAATTTTGTCAACGCCATCAATGCAGCCCTCCCTTCCCGGTTTCCTCTGGGCTGCCAGGAAGCTTTTCTCTCGTTCGTGCACTTTGCTGTCGTCTGCCACATCAAACAACTTCTCAGCTATATCCTCGAACCTCATCTTCAGCTTCCCGTTCTTCGTTTTCTTCCTTTTCTGTTTCTGTCCATTTTCCTTCATCATCATCGTCTCCCTCCGCATCCTCCACAGGTCGTGGACTCTCATTTTCACCCTGATTTCAGAGATAGTGGGGACAGTGGCCTTCCTATACACATCCAGTACCTTCTCAGTCACCTTGTTGGTGGCATCCATATAATCAAAAGCATTTGTTCTTCTCCTTAACCTCTCGTTTTCTGCTTCATAAGCCAGGGCACTTCCAACTTCCTTGTTCAGAGGCAACTTGTTAGATGGCAGAGGCATCCGAACCCCGAACACCTTATCGTTACCCTGGCGCAGCTGAGTGTTGCTAATCTTAGGACGACCCATCTTGGTGGCGGCCCTTTGAACTAACTGCAAAACAACACAGAAAAAACAACTTTCAGCACTTCAATATCACCACCTATTGAACAATATTTTATTCAAAAGTACGGACTGAGATTTTGTCCTTAACTGTCCAAGTCAAGCTACTTGGGCTGAATTCGTTGATCAGTCCTGGGACGAATATTACCAACGGCGTGAATAGATTCCGTGGAATAAATTCAGGGCATTCCCGTCCAGGGAGCCTCAACAAACTCTGTAAATATTGCCATTGGCCTGCCATTGGCACATATACGGAGTTTGGTAATGTTCCATGAGCGGGAATGTCCTGAATTCATTCCACGGAATCTATCCACGCCGTTGGTAATATTGGGCCCTGGTTTTCGAAATATACGTATGTGGTGACTTGCAGCAAAAATATCGGCATAATTTGTAGCGCATTGAGTTGTAAAACAATAGCATATTATGAACCAGTGTACACAGTAGTCGAATAATCCAATTCAATAACTTGATTTTAACAGGTTGTGCCACATTGCCAGTCCCTTTATTATTTACAGTTTTTTCGCGTTTTTCATGCCAAACCCAAAAGTATCCACAAACCTTCTAATGCAATGATGTAAAAAACTCAAACATATTCGGAATTAGCGTGGCCGATAGACAAATAATCCAACCCAAGCAATTAGATTTTGAAAACTTTTGCCAAACTGTCACTCCCTAATATATATATATATATATATATATATATATATATATATATATATATATATATATATATATATATATATATATATATATATATATATATATATATATATATATATATATATATATATATATATATATATATATATATATATATATATATATATATATATATATATATATATATATATATATATGTGTGTGTGTATCCATATTTTTTTTCTAGAAATATAACACAGTATCACTGTATTACATTAGCACTGTATCACTATAACACTGTAACACTCTATCACTATAACACTGTATCACTGTATCACATTAACACTGTGTCACTGTATCACTATAACACTGTATCACTGTATCACACTAACACTGTATCACTGTATCACTGTATCACTATAACACTGTAACACTGTATTGCTATAGCACTGCATCATTGTATTACCATATCTCTGTAATACTGTATCACTATATCACTGTATCACTATAAAACTTTTTCATATTTGTATCACCATTTCACTATCACTGTAACACCATATTAATATATTACCATATCACTCTCTCACCATATCACCATGTCACTGTATCACCATGTCACTGTATCACCATGTCAATGTATCACCATGTCACTGTATCACCATATCACTATATCACCATGTCACTGTATCACCATGTCACTGTATCACCATGTCACTGTATCACCATATCTCTATATCACCATGTCACTGTATCACCATATCACTCTAGGGAGGAGAGCTCTGTCAGGAGCAGGCCGAGGTACTTTACCAAGATGCAAAAGCTTCAAGTGTCCCCGTCTTTGGCTCTGGTGGGATTCCTTACCACTGTTGGTCTCACCCTGGCTGCTGGCTTCATAGGGCACTACGCGTTCCCCTACTGCTACGGTGGTGATAATGAGGTGAGTGTGTATGTTTGGTTTGGTTTGGTTACAATGGCTTGACCCCTTGAATACGATGGCTAGCCCCCTTGTGTACGATGGTTTAACCTCTTAAGTACGATAGTTTAACCTCTTGAGTACCATGATGTAACGCCTTGAGTATCATGACTTAGCGCCATTGATACGATAGTTTAATTCCTGAAAGGTAGATTAACATATGCTGTAAAAACACAAAACACACACACACACACACACATGCACACACACACACACACACACAGTCACTGGATCCCGTGAAAACGTGGGCGTAGGTGATTATGGGCCGTGGGTATCTATGGCTGTGGGTGGCTATGGGTATGGGTGGCTATGGGTGTGGGTGGCTTTGGGTAGATATGGGTGTGGGTGGCTATGGGTTTGAGTGGCTATGGGTGTGGGTAGGTATGGGTGTGCGTGGGTATGGGTGTGCGTGGGTATGGGTGTGGATGGGTATGGGTAGCCATGAGTGTGGGTGGCTATAGGTGAGGGTGGCTATGGGTGTGGGCGGCTATGGGTCTGGGTGGCTATGGATGTGGGTGGCTATGGATGTGGGCTGTCTATTACATAACGGCAATATCTCAGGACCACTATCTCAGGACCACTATCTCAGGGCCAATATCTCATGACCACTATCTCAGGACCACTATCTCAGGACCACTATCTCAGGACTACTATCTCAGGACCACTATCTCAGGACCAATATCTCAGGACCACTATCTCAAGACCACTATCTCAGGAACACTATCTCAGGACCAATATCTCAGGACCACTATCTCAGGACCACTATCTCAGGGCAATATCTCAGCGCAGTACCTAACACCTCTGGCAAGCCTCTTTTATCACCAACTCGTAAGCTGTTCTTGGTCATAAACTATTTATTGCACTATATTAACAAACTCCTGTGTGTGTGTGTGTGTGTGTGTGTGTGTGTGTGTGTGTGTGTGTGTGTGTGTGTGTGTGTGTGTGTGTGTGTGTGTGTGTGTGTGTGTGTGTATGTGTGTAATAATAATAATAATAAACGGTTTATTAATAGAGTTGCAGCCAGTGGCTGAAAATATACAGACTTACATTGATTTAGACATAATAATAATATGCGTTGAATACATTTACAGGGCTGTACAGTACATAAATCAGGAGTTGTTTATTATTTTAACAATAGATGTGATGGCGCTATTCTTATATCTATCGGTGCGGGCTCTTATGGGCTGAATTTTGTTGTAGTGGCGGACTGCTTGAGGTGGGTGGGGGGGCTGCCGGTGGCAGGAGGTGGCGATGATGAGGGTGGTGCAGTAGTTCACTGTCAAACCTTGCCAGTGCTTGGTGGTGGAGGTCACTGAGGGATGGCATTTCCAAGGTGGAGAGAGCGTTGTTGTAGCCGGAGTAGTCTGCGCCGAGCATGATTCTGATGACCAGGCTGGTGACGCTTACGTTAGTTTGGGGAGGATAAAGGCGTTGTAGGGTAGTCCTCAGCTCTGGCGTGGGTGCCTCAAGTGACCTGAGTCGTCGTAACATGAAGAGTCAGTACGGGGCTGCCTTGATTGTGTTATTTACATGGGCCTTCAAGTCCAGTTTGTGGTCTATGGTAACGCCCAGGAGTTTGGCAGACTGCACTAACTGGAGAGGATGGGCACCCACTGTGACTGCTGGAGCTTGCACTGGAGTGGTGGCGATATTGATGTGCATGACTACGGTTTTGGTGTGGTTGATGGTGACCTTGTTCTCCGTAGTCCATGCCTGTAGCCTGTCCAGGGTGCCTTGGAGCGATGAGTAGTCTGGTGCGGTGTTGTCCACTGAAACCCCCACAGTGCAGTCATCCACGTACTTCCACCTGTGAGGAGTGTCCGATAGAGCGTCGTTGATCAGGATGAGGAAGCACAGTGGTCCCATCTTGGTCCCCTGGGGAACACCGCAGGTGAGGTGTTGGAATGTGGAGACCGAGCCCTGATACCTCACTGCCTGGCGACGTCCACTCAAGAAATCAGTGAGCCATGAGACCAGGTTGGTGGGCAGCCCTAGTGCAATGGCCTTGTTGATAACAGTGCAGTGATCAACAAGGTCAAAGGCCTTCCTGAAGTCAACAAGGGCAACGGCCAGTGATGTCTTACGTTTCTGCAGGTTTTTGTGCAGAAAATCCAGAAAGCTCACTAAGCAGTGTGATGTAGAGGAGGTCCTCATATTGCCAAATTGCTGTGGATCAATTGACTGATAGATTCTAGCAAATGCCCACTCAAAAACAAAGTCCTCACAGAGTAGACTGGGTATGGGGGTAATGGCAACTGGCCTGAGGTCGTTAGGGGACTGTGGGGTGGTGACCTTGGGGATGGGGGTGACAAATGCGGTTTTCCATTCATTAGGGCATTTGCTTTGTCTGAGGGATGCATTAATAATAGAACAGAGGGGGGTGGCAAGTTCGACTGCAAACTCCTTGTATATTTTGATTGGGAGGTCAATTGGGGTCGTGGAGCGTTTGGATTTAAATTTCAGGAGTTTGTTGGCGATTTCATATGGTTGAACACTGGGAGGGGGGGAGGGGGAAGGTAAGTAAGCTGGGAGGAGAGTGAGGTCAAGACTGGGTAAGGTATGACATATGGTAGCAAAGTGGTTATTAATTATCTCAGCTGCCTCCTCACTAGGTAAATGTGAGATGAAAGGAAGTGTGGGAGACTGACGGTTGAGACCACAGAGATCTTTTACCTTGGAGTACCACTGACCGATGCCGACTTCCTTGAGGCCGTGCACTTTCCTGGGATAATAAGTTTTCTTGGCCGACTTGATTTCCCTGATGACTTGGCTAAGTAGACTTTTGTACAGGCGGTTGTTGGTGTAGTATGCCTTGTTGCATTGCTCAAAAAGTCTTTTTATGCGGGGCGTAATCCACGGGACATCATCGGGGTGGATCCTCAGTGTCTTGGCTGGAAAGAAGTGGTGGTAGGCTTTGGTGATAGTGTCCAGGTAATTATCCCACTTGTTCTGCACATCGTCTAACGTAATCACTTCAGTCCAGGGATGCCGGGTTATCCATTGTCCGAAACGCCGCATAGCAGAGTCGGGGGTGGGTCGGTAAGTCTTGGTGGTAACTGGCGGTCGTGAGAAGGTGGGAGTAGGTGACCACCGTAGAGACAGGTGGGGGCTGAGTCCCATGGGAGGCAGCGGCTGGGAAGGGGTGGGTGGGGAGGAGGTAGTTGGAGATGTTCCGGGTACTTGGTTCTAACTATAGGAGCGAACATAAACACCTGTAGAGTTCTGTAGGTTCTATTCAACGGAAATATACAAGGGTGCGCTTACAAGCACAAGTAGTCCCTACACTCCTATATGGGTCAACTGACCTCTGACCTCTCGGGCGACATGTGGTAAGTGGTACATTAGCAGCTTCCAGATGTCGCCCGGCACATTATCTAAGCGTGTTGTTACGAGTTGGGGATTTAGAAACTGGTTTAGAATATAGTTAAAAGTCTACCCAGATCCCAACAGGCAACAACAATAAAAAAACTAAACAAACAAAGACAATCGGACTATAAAAGGGTAGACAAAGGATGCGAGTTTTTGTTGTGTATAATAAAGTACAATAAATTCCTTAACAAAATATCCAGCTTTCTATAATTTACCCTTAACCATACTTAACTTAAACATACGCAACATTGGCTTAACAGTATATACATATTTATACAACATACAACAATCTGAAGGAAGTGGAGGTGGGAGGAAATATAGGGTTACAATACTCAAGTGCGGTGCTGAAGTGTCTGATGAGTAGGGCTGAGTATTGAAGAAGATGGTAGGTAGTCACTGTGCCGTAGGTTTCCAGGATAGGTAATCCAAGTGTGGTCACTTCCCAGAGTGAACTGAACTCTCCTCGATCCAGTGCTGATGAAGAAGAGTTGGAGGAGGTGACGCAACAACCAGGATATGGAGAAAGGAAACCCGGAGTGGTGACTAAGACTAGTCATACTCGGGTCGCGTCCCTAGATAGCGTTGCTTCGTAGTGCTGGGTAGTTAGATCATGACACAATAGATGGCGTGGTTCGTAATACCCCCCTCCAAAGACCTCCGTAGCGCGGGCGCGGAGGAGGTGATCACCTGGTGCGTCTGGAGAGTAGCTGCTGCATTTCCACTGGACCTCGGGATAAGGAGTCTGCAATCAGGTTGTCCACCCCCTTTATGTGCCGGATTTGTAGATTATAGGGCTGGGTGAGGAGAGCCCAGCGGAGGATTCGCTGGTTGGAGGTCTTGTTGGTTTGGATGAACGTGAGCGGGTTATGGTCGGTGAAGACTAGGGTGGTTTGTGTGCGAGATTGGAGGTAACATTCAAACTTCTTTATTGCCAACACCAGATCAGGGCCTCTTTCTCTATGGTCGAGTAGTTGGTCTGATGTTTTTTCAACTTGGCGGAGTAGTATGCCACAGAGTGAAGGACATCAGTGGTTGGGTCGGGTTGTAGGAGCACAGCCCCCACTCCGACACCGCTAGCGTCGATTTGCAGATTGCCTAATGGGTTGTACATCATCTGAGATTAGCTTAATATCATGTTTAAGTATATTGCAAAACCCTGGGAGGTCTGACGTGACTTTAGGAAATGTTGATAATAACTTAGTGAGATCTTTTGCTTGAGATGGATTCAGAACAGAAAGATACTCATCCAAGTTGTTGAGTATGTGACTGTTAGCAGGGTTTTCTTTAGGTAGAGGGAAGTCTAAATTCTCCAATAGGTCCATGTCATCTGTCTCCGGCTCCGGCCCTGACAAAGCCGTATGCAATACAGGTAGGCTTATAGCCTCTTGGATGTCTTCCTCTGACTGCCTGGAATGGTAAAGTTTCATGAGACTAATGTGAACAAGTTGTGAATCTTTTCTGCGATCAGGAGTATGGACTATATAGTTGAGGGGAGATAGTTTATTAGCAACTATATAGGGACCAGTAAACTTGCTTTTAAGGGGAGAGCCTGGAATGTGAAGAAAGAGTAACACTTTGTCACCTGGAGAAAATGATCTTTCAACTAATTTGGGTTGGGACTTCACCATACAGTATTTTTTTTAGCATTGATTTGAAAGTTTGATGGAACCGTTACAAGCAACCTTGGGATTGTGGGTGGTAACCCGAAGATGTACAATGGTCCACACTGAGGTCTTTCATCACCTGTTTGAAAAGATTGCTTGTAAAATTGGTGCCCTGATCGGATTGGATCTCTTTAGGAATGCCCACTGAAATGAAAAGGTGCAAAAGATGTTTGATTACATTTTTTGAAGTGATGCTTTTAAGGGAAAAGCCTCAGGATAACGTGTACTGGTATCCATAACTGTGAGCAGGAATTGATTTCCCTTCTTAGTCTTTAGTAATGGGCCCACACAATCCACAACAATCTTTTCAAATGGTGTAGAAAATACTGGGATGGGCTTAATGGGAGCTGCTGGTATACTTTCATTTGGTTTTCCTACCATTTGACAAATATGACAAGATTTTAGGTACTTTGAGACATCCTTCCTAAGTCCAGGCCAGTAATAGTGTTGGAGGAGCTTTTTATATGTTTTCAGGATTCCCAAATGTCCTGAAATACCATCATGGGCAAGGGCAATTAATGCTGGTCTGACTGAGGAGGGAATTACCACTTGATGTATTTCAGACCACGTGTCTAGATGGGTAAGCTCAGGGGGTCTATAGGCCCTTATCAAAACCCCTTCCTGATAATAAAAACAAGGGAGGGTGTTAAAATCTTTACCCTCAACTGCTGCATGATGAAGTTTATTCAAAGATGGATCAGATTGTTGGGCTTTAATGAGCTCATCCTTACTAATGGTCTTATTGTACAGATCTTCTGTGGGTAGGAAGATATTGGAGGTGGTTTTAGATGAAGAGGGCCCATTTCGCACACTCTGTGATCGGGTGACAGCACAAGATGGGAAAAGGTGAGGAATAGTTTCTTCAAGGTCAGTGGTGGAGTTGACAGGTAAGGGAGAGTCGACTGTCTTTATGTTGGGAACCACTAGATCTCCTACCAAGTCATTACCCAATATTAAATGAATGCCCCTCACAGGCATTGGATCTTTCCTAATGGCTACTTGCACTTCCCCAGTAATCAAGGGACATTGGAGGTGCACTTTAGCTAAGGGATAGGAAGAATGGGATGAGAGATCTGAAATTAGAACACTCTCATTAGTAAATGCTGTAGATATATCAGGAATGACGTTAAACAGGAGAATAGATTGTCCTACGACCGTATCACGTAGTATATGAATAGGGAAAGAACGAGACCCCTCTATGATTGAAATTTTGCCCTCATAGGTGAATGAAGATAAGAGATCCTGATGGGGCCTTTCCACATTGGTGGTTGCTATTGGTTTGAATTTGGGATCCAGGGAACTACTTTTAGAAGTTCGACACTTTGGGTGTTTACAAGACTGGATCGTATGGCCTGGTTTTTTACAGTAAGAACAATAAAACCTGGTTGAATCGAGGGGGGGGGGGTAGGTGTGGGACCTTTCGACCTACCACTCACGTCCCCAAGGTTATCATCAGAGGAGGACCTAACATGCCGGAAAGTACCACGTTCCCTACTGCCTAGTGACTCCACCAGCAAGGCGTACGCATCAGCCAGCTCAGCCGCACGCCCTAAATTAACCTCTCCACGCTCCTCCACATGCTTCAAGATGTGAAATGGTATCTTGCTCTTCCACTCCTCCAGGACTACCAAGTTTAACAAATCCTGAAATGTGGAGGTCTCTGTAGCCTCTAACCACTTCTTGAAAAACCTAAGCTTTCTTGAGCAAACTCAACAAAGGTGTGTGAAAATGTTTTGGTTAGTTTACGAAACTTCTGCCGGTATCTATCTAGCGTGATAGCATAAGAGGTGAGGATATTCTTTTTTACGTTATCATAGTCATCAGTCTGGTCTAAACAGTTATAAACTCTACGAGCCTTACCACATAATTTAGGAACTAACACCGACACCCACTGGTCCTTAGGCCACTCATTCTTCCCGGCTATTTTCTCAAAAGTCCTAAATGACCCGTCCATATAGGATTCATCAAACTCGGGAACAAGGGAAGAAGCAGTAGCAGGGTTAAAAGCAGCTAGTCTCTCTTTTAATGCCACTTCTTTTGATTTAAACTCCGATGTTAAGGTGACTTCTGTCTCTTTCACCTGTAGTTCTTTCAGTCTAACATCCTGCTCCAACTTGTCCTGTTCCAACTCATGCTCCAACTGGAGTTCTTTCATTTTGATTTGGAACTCGAACCTAGCTCGTTCTATTTCTAAGGCGTCTACTTTTTGTGTTTTTTCTTGAGGGCTAGCCAGACCTGAGGCAACTTCTGAGTGAGGAGGGGTGGTAGATAGTGGTTGAAGTGTATTGGACATGGGCGTTAATTGGTCAACAGCGGATTCTTCTAAAACTTCTTGTTGAACCAACATTTCGATTACCTGATTTTTTAACACTTCCTTAGTCATTTGCTGTGAATATGGGATATTGTAATAGGTGGCTATTCTTTTCCATTCTTTCTTCAGGATATTAACACGTAATTTAGATACGGAAGGATTTTCAATAAAATCCTGGAGATCAAAACCTGAGGTGGTCATTGTTAAGAAAAACTAGATAAATTAACTAATGGCCAAAAAGATAAGATAAGGGGATTACCCTAGAAAATTTCACGGCAGTGGATAACCAGAAAGTCCCGGAAACTACCCAAGTTATACCTAGGGAAATTACACTTATGAATATTGTTCTTCTGATAAGATCCTTAGATAAGGATAAGAGACTTGGAAAGATACTTGAAACAGGAAGGGCGTATTACGGCATTAATATAAAGATCCGGATAAACAACCCTTGAGTTACTTTATTATTGACCCCGAATGAGATAATGAGAAGAACAATAATTGAGGCTTTATAATTATGGGGTCCTGGTAGAGCGGGGCGTCCCAAGATATCACTTCACCCTAAACTAGTGACTATGGAACAGCCTACTCTGGAGCGAGGGTACGGCATTAAACAGATCCGGATTCTTCCCTACACTCGATAAGACTTACTACACGACTGCCTACGTGTAATAACAGGTAAGCCTTATGACACTCGGAACCTAATATCCTACGTCTGTCACTCTTACTGTACGATAATACCAATATATGCACACACATATGAAGGGAACTTTAAACCACCGTAAAGCAATTGTGAACAGAAGTGACTGGGAGGAATAATTAACAAGGAGTAACAAGGGGGGAAGAAATATGGCACTTAAGGTCGGGTCCTGTCACGGTCGCCATTTGTTACGAGTTGGGGATTTAGAAACTGGTTTAGAATATAGTTAAAAGTCTACCCAGATCCCAACAGGCAACAACAATAAAAAAACTAAACAAACAAAGACAATCGGACTATAAAAGGGTAGACAAAGGATGCGAGTTTTTGTTGTGTATAATAAAGTACAATAAATTCCTTAACAAAATATCCAGCTTTCTATAATTTACCCTTAACCATACTTAACTTAAACATACGCAACATTGGCTTAACAGTATATACATATTTATACAACATACAACAATCTGAAGCAAGTGGAGGTGGGAGGAAATATAGGGTTATAATACTCAAGTGCGGTGCTGAAGTGTCTGACGAGTAGGGCTGAGTATTGAAGAAGATGGTAGGTAGTCACTGTGCCGTAGGTTTCCAGGAAAGGTAATCCAAGTGTGGTCACTTCCCAGGGTGAACTGAACTCTCCTCGATCCGGAGCTGATGAGGAAGAGTTGGAGGAGGTGACGCAACAACCAGGATATGGAGAAAGGAAACCCGGAGTGGTGACTAAGGCTAGTCATACTCGGGTCGCGTCCCTAGATGGCGTTGCTCGGTAGTGCTGGGTAGTTAGATCATGACACAATAGATGGCGTGGTTCGTAATAGTGTGGTGACATGAAACAGGGGCATTGCCACACGCTACTGACTAGAGAAGTAATGTATGTATATAGAGTACATACATGGTATACATACAAATACATAATATACATACAGTAGTGGTTACCGAGATCAGTCATGATGAGGTCAAGGGTGGCATTGCCATGTGTGGGAAAGTCAACTATTTGTGTAAGGTGGAGGTGTTGGGTGATGTCACTGATGTCTAACTCATTGAAGTGTTGTGTGTGTGTGTGTGTGTGTGTAGTGTGTAGTGTGTGAGTGTGTGTGTGTGTGTGTGTGCGTATAGTGTGTGTGTGTGTGTGTGTGTGTGTGTGTGTGTGTGTGTGTGTGTGTGTGTGTGCGTATAGTGTGTGTGCGTGTGTGTGTGTGTGTGTGTGTGTGTGTGTGTACAAACCCTCACAAGCTGTATTCTTGTATCTTTGTGTCACTGTAATTACATATCACTGTATTCACTCGTCATTGTAAACACCTTATCTGACTGAGGTGTATTGTGAGCTAATGTTATCTCTTCTTTCTTCTTTCTTCTTCTTTCTTCTTCTTTCTTCTTCCTTCTTCTTTCTTCTTTCGTCTTCCTTCTTCTTACTATTATCATTCGGCCCAAACGTCCTATATTCGATGACCCATTGGTTGTAATAATAAAGGTTGTAACTGATGTTTACTCTTTGTAGGTTACAAACACCACCACCACCACTACTACAACTACTGACATCTCCTCCACACCACCTCCAACCACTACCACAGAGACGCCTAAACTCAACAACTACCGCCTACCGGAGTCCCTTAAGCCCCTTCACTACCTGGTCAAGCTTCAGCCCTTCGTCAATGGTAACTACACCATCTTGGGCTACCTGGAGGTGGAGATGAAGGTGGTGAACTCAACCTCTCGTATCGTCCTCCACATGGCTGACATCATCACCCATAATGATACCATCACCGTGAGTTATAGAACCATCTTGATGCCTATAATTGTGATGTGTTATGTTATTATTATATGTGGCTCAGTACTACGTCTTGTTATATAGCCTCCCTCCCCCCTCCTCTCTCTCTCTCTCTCTCTCTCTCTCTCTCTCTCTCTCTCATAGCCACTCTTTATTGTTTATATGAGTCCAACGTCCCTCACAGGTGGTACAAGATGGGGTACAGGTGGTGGTGAAGGAACACGTGTACGACGCTGAGAGGGAGTGGTACGTGGCCCAGCTGGACCAGGAGCTGCAGGTGGACCAGACGGTAAACATCAGCCTGTGGTTCACCGGCCTCCTTAATGACCAACTGAGAGGCTTCTACAGGTCATCCTACGTCGACCCTGATGGTAACACTGTGTAAGTCTTCAGACAGACAGACACACACACACACACACACACACACACACACACACACACACACACACACACACACACACACACACACACACACACACACACACACACACACAGTACTTACTAATAACAATGTTCATATATTTTTTCGTATTTGTATTAAAGAGAGATGGCAGCGACTCAGTTCCAGCCAACAGACGCCAGACGAGCGTTCCCCTGCATGGACGAACCAGCGCTCAAGGCTAAGTTCTCTGTGTCGCTGGCCAGGGAGGAGAACATGACGTCACTCAGCAATATGCCCAGATACGGCAGCGAGCCAGTGTGAGCATTGCCTCCCTCCCTCTGTTTACACCCTTTGACATTTTCCCGTGCATGAAATACATAATGAACTCCACTTATTTACCCTGAAGATTAACCCTCCAAACACCAACCTAACCTAACCTAACCTAACCTAACCTAACCTAACCTAACCTAACCTTGGTGAGATACCATACTCCCCAGAACACAAACCTTGAATAGTATATATTTATCATGTTGTTGTTGTTGATAATGACAGGACAGACACAGATACACTTCACACACATAATCACGAGAGAGGAAAGTTTTCTGAGTGTTTACACCTATAACTAGACATTAACCCAGCTTACGAATATCTTAGAAGAAGGTTAGGTTAGATTAGGTTAGGTTAATTAAGCGTTATCCTTACTCTCCCCCACCCCTCCCCCCTACAGAGAGGACCAGCCTGAGTGGGAATGGGACCACTACGACACTACTGTAGAAATGTCCACCTACCTGATCGCTTTTATCGTCTCAGACTTCGTGAATAAGACAGTTGATGTTAACGGGACCCAATTCTCAGGTAAGGATCAAGTTACCGGGGTCAATTGTAAGGTAGGATCACGTTAACGGGATCAATTATAAGGTAGGATTACGTTAACGGGGTTAATTAACAGGGAGGATCACGTTAACGGGGTCAATTATCAGGGAGGATCACGTTAACGGGGCTCAATTCTCAGGAAGGATCGCGTTAACGGGGTTAATTCTCAGGTAGGAATCACGTGTATATTTATATCTGACGCTGGTGCTTTTTTTTACTGTTTTGTAAATTTATTTACAAAATCATTAGACATTGGAGTTGTGCCAGACTTGTGGAAATAGTGACAGAGCATCAGCGTCAAATTTCCGGCCAATTAGTTTGACGTCAGTAGTGGGGAAATTTCTTGAATCTATTATAGCAAATAGCATCCGGTCGCATTTAGAGAAAAACAAATTAATCTACGACTCTCAACATGGATTAACAAAGGGAAAATCTTGTCTAACAAATCTGCTGATGTTTTTTAGGAAAGTCTTCGAGGTAGTAGATAATGACGAAAATTACGATGTTATTTACTTAGAATTTAGCAAAGCATTTGACAGAGTACCGCATCAGAGGCTTCTGAGATAAGTTAAGGCTCTTGGTATCGAGGGGAAAGTCTTAAATTGGATAAAATCGTGGCTTACCAATAGAACAAAGAGGGTCAGTGTAGATGGTGTTAAATCTGAGTGGGGCCGTGTAACCAGTGGGGCTCCCCAGGGGTCAGTACTGGTCCCACTCTTGTTCATAATCTACATAAACGATCTAGTTACTGAGATCAGCAGTGACATAAGCAAGTTTGCGGATGACACAAAAATAGGGTGGTAGGTTAATTCAGGGCAGGATGAAAATACACTACAGGAGGATTTTAATAAACTGCAGAAGTGGTCAGAAAATGGTAAATGATATTCAACACCAGCAAGTGCAGCGTACCTAATAATGGAAAAACAAATACTGTCAATGTATACAGCCTTAACAACATCAACTGAGAGAAGTCGACTTGTGAAAGAGACTAAGGGATACTTGTAAGCCCGGACCTACGGCCTAGAAAACAGTGCGTTTATGTTTGAAATAAGGTAAACAGAATATTAGGTTTTCTATCTAGAAGTGTAAGTAATGAGATTGCGGAAGTCATATTGCAACTATATCTTGCGCTAGTTAGGCCGCACCTCGATTATTCTGTTCAGTTATGGTGCCCTTATTATAGAATGGATATCAATTCACTGGAGTCGGTGCAGCGAAAAATGACGAAAATGATTCCGGGACTTAGAAACCTTCCATTTCAGGATAGGTTAAAGAAACTGAACTTGCATTCCCTAGAAAGACGAAGAGTGCGGGGAGATATGATAGAAGTATTTAAGTGGGTGAAAGGAATCAATAAAGGGGATATAGATAAAGTTCTTATAATATCCGAGCAGGATAGGACTCGGAACAACGGATTCAAGTTGGATAAGTTTAGGTTTAGGAGGGAGATAGGAAGAAACTGGTTCACAAATAGGGTGGTGGACGAGTGGAACAAGCTTAGCAACTTTGTAGTAAGTACTGGAACGCTGGAAAGTTTTAAAAGGAGGCTAGATAGGTTCATGGATGATAGAGTAGTAACTCTCGACAGGAGCTGCCATGCACAGGCCAACCGGCCTATTGCAGACTCCTTATTTTCTTGAGTTCTTATGTTCTTATGTTTTTGTTTGTTATTGTTATTGTTCTTCTCTTCTTTTCCTTTCTCTCTCCCGTGTTCTTCTTCTCTTCTTCTTTTTCTTTCTCTCTTCCTTCTTCTCTTCCTCTTCTCTTCCTTATCCTCCTCTTCCTTAAACCCCCTCCTCCTCCTCATCCTCCTCCTAACAGTGTGGGCTAGGCCAGCTGCTATAGACCAGACGGACTATTCCTTGGCCTTGGGTCCTCGAGTGTTGACTTTTTTCGAGGATTACTTCAACATATCCTACCCACTGCCGAAACAAGATATGGCCGCTATACCGGACTTCTCTGCAGCAGCCATGGAGAACTGGGGCTTAATTATCTACAGGTGAGAGATACTGAGAGAAATGGGGCTTAATTATGAGCAGGTGAGGAAAATGAGAGAAACTATGGCTTAATTTATCTATAAGTGAGAAAATGTGGTTAGGTTAGGTTAACTTAGGTTAGGTTAGCCTTAAATTAGGATAAATTAAGTTAGCATTAGGATAATTAATCAACAGGTGAAATAAACTTGGGGGGTGTTTAAACATAATCCACAGGTGTTTATTTTTCTGTGTTTTGTTATTGTTCCACAGAGAGACGGCCATGTTATACGACCCTCAGTTATCGTCAGCCTGCAGTAAGCAGTGGATAGGTGAGACGGTGACGCACGAGTTGGCTCATCAGTGGTTCGGTAACTTGGTCACTCCCAGATGGTGGACTGACTTGTGGCTTAATGAGGGATTTGCTACTTATTTGGCATTTGTTGGCCTTAGTCATGTGAGTATTGTGTGTGAGTGTGTGTGTGTGAGTGTGTGTGTGTGAGTACCTGTAGATGCAAAGACAATCAGATAATATCCCATCTTAATCTGAGCGGTGTTGATGCAGGTGGAAGAATCGTGGAAGATGATGGAACAGGTTGTCGGTGACGTGCATTATGTGTTCGGTGTTGACAGCTTAGAGACCTCTCACCCCATCAGCATCCCTGTTGGTCACCCACATGAGATTAATGAAATATTTGATGCTATATCTTACTATAAAGGTAAGTGAGAGAGGGAGAGAGTGACGGGGAGGAGGGAAGGAAGGTGGGGAGAAATGGAAGAACAGGGATTGTAGTGAAGGAAGTAGGTAAGAAGCTATTATGTTAATGATCTATCAACATAAATTATGTCATTAAGAATATAACAAGATATATTATGATATATAATCATTGCAGGGTGATAATAAAGTATACTGCAATATGACAAGATTAGTAATCGTGTACCGGTGTATTACATCTGCAGGAGCTTCCATCATCCGAATGATGGAACACTTTCTGACGGAGGAGACATTTAAGATGGGCCTAATTAGCTACCTCAACCACTTGTAAGTGTTCCTCCATCTATCTAATACATTCTTCAAAGTTCACTGAGTGTTGAGTCTTTCCTGACAACATTGGGTTTACTCCTCCGTATATTGAGGTAACTGTTAGTTCTCTGTCACAGTGCCTACAACTCAGCCACCCAGGACGACCTGTGGCAGTTCTTGACGGCGGCGGCACACCAGGACGGCACTCTCACCTCTGACCTCACCGTCAAGGTCATCATGGACACCTGGACACTCCAGATGGGTTACCCGCTGATTACTGTCATCCGTAGTAATGATGGCACCTCAGCCACTGTCACTCAGGTGAGTTACTGTCATCCATAGTGATGATGGCACCTCAGCCACTGTCACTCAGGTGAGTTACTGTCATCCATAGTGATGATGGCACCTCAGCCATTGTCACTCAGGTGAGTTACTGTCACCCAGAGTGATGATGGCACCTCAGCCACTGTCACTCAGGTGAGTTACTGTCACCCAGAGTGATGATGGCACCTCAGCCACTGTCACTCAGGTGAGTTACTGTCATCCATAGTGATGATGGCACCTCAGCCATTGTCACTCAGGTGAGTTACTGTCACCCAGAGTGATGATGGACCTCAGCCATTGTCACTCAGGTGAGTTACTGTCACCCATAGTGATGATGGCACCTCAGCCATTGTCACTCAGGTGAGTTACTGTCACCCAGAGTGATGATGGACCTCAGCCATTGTCACTCAGGTGAGTTACTGTCACCCAGAGTGATGATGGCACCTCAGCCATTGTCACTCAGGTGAGTTACTGTCACCCAGAGTGATGATGGCACCTCAGCCATTGTCACTCAGGTGAGTTACTGTCACCCAGAGTGATGATGGCACCTCAGCCACTGTCACTCAGGTGAGTTACACAGGTACAATGCGTCACTCACACGTGTAGTGATGATTGGAGCACATGTGTCCTGCTGATACCGAGGGAGAATATGACGGCGAGGCAGCAGGAGGCGCCCTACAGGTGGTGGGTGCCGCTCTCCTACACCTCGGCCAACAACTCAGACTTCAGCAACACAATTCCCTCTGAGTGGATGAAGGACTCGGAAGAACACAAGGCGTTGACCTCGCTGCCCGCCAGTGACCAGTGGGTCATATTCAACCTACAGGAGACAGGTTACTACCGCGTCAACTATGACTCCAACAACTGGGCCTTGATCACTGATCAGCTCAAAGCTGATCATGAAGCCATTCACGTGATCAACCGAGCCCAGATCATTGATGATGCCCTTAACCTGGCCCGTGCAGGTAAGATGACCCCTCCTACTCCTGGTGTTACTAATACGTGGCCCATATAGTAGTAGTGGTTAATATTAACGAGATGCCCACTGCCGCATTATTTATTTTTATGTTTCTTATCTTACTATAATTTCACCGGTAAGTTCTGATATGATATTCATTTCATGGGCAAATGCTTCGTTTGGTAGATAATTAGTCTTCTAGGCTTGCATTAGTGGCACTACTTGCCAGCGATAAATCGGCACCTACACTCAGTGTACATTTATGAGCCACTCTGTCCCGGCGGCTGCTCTCACGTCCACAAAAAAATTTAATTTACCAACTAAGGTTAACTTAGGTTTTATTTAGAAAAAGGCACTTTTTAACACATTTGCCCAAACTACAAAAGTGTTCACTACAAAATACAGTGAAATTGCGTCATTTTAAAATTAAATTTCTATGAAAAACCGGTGGGAGGTATCTAGTCAGTAATTACCTTCATAGTAGTAGTTGTGAATGTGTCGCTATTGGGGGAGGCTGGAGGCCATTTTAAAAAAGCAGTACTGTAATAGTAGTAGCCCCTATAGCAGTAGTTAAAGTAATAATAATAGTAATAGTCGCTCATACACGCTCCCAGGAAACTTAGGAATATCTAAGAAGGAAGCTCAACTGATACACATTCCCATTATCTTCGGTAAGGTCCTAAATTTGTGCAACAATTTAAACTAAAAAAAAAATTACTCATAGAAAACGGGTCTGAAAGGATTCATAGAAAACATTTATTGTTTTATGAGTAACTATTTTTGTCGTAGCTGGAGCCAATAAATTTACTATATTCCATTATTTATATTCCATGCAGGGAACATAAAATAGACAAGTCTCAGTTTCATTCATATTCCTCAGGTCGGCTGCCGTACGAGGTGGTCCTGAGGATTATCGAGTACCTTAAGCGTGAAAAGGAGTTCGTCCCCATAAAGGCTGCTCTGAACGGCCTCTCTTACCTTCAGATGATGATGAAGACGACTACTGGCTATGGGGCCCTCAAGGTGGGTGTTAAACCTAACCTTACCTTACCTTACCTTACCTCACCTTACGACCTGTACGGCACATTTATAGATCACACAAAGTCCACTGTACAGTAAACCCTCCCAATACCAGACTAATTCTTTTCTTTCTTTTTTTATCCTCGTCACCACTGATCGGCTCGTTAGCCGCTTGGGCGATCGGTCACATCTCTGATTTCTCTTCCTTTTCATTTTTCCTCTTCACCAAAAGATTGGCTCGCTAGCCGCTTGGGCGATCGGTCACGTCTGTCACGCACTGTTGGCAAGTACTGGGCATGCACCGGCTCCTGAAAGTACCTGAACCCGCTCCAGTGTTGGTCAAGTCTTGTCTTGAAAGAGCTCACACTCGGTGCCGTCACAACACTTTCTGGTAGATTGTTCCAAAAGTTCACAACTCTCACTCCGAAAAAGTTTGCCCTCACAGTTTTCTGGACATGCGGCTTCTTCAATCTTGAGCTGTGACCCCTTGTGGGGCGAGCGTCTGCAAGCTCCAAGTAAGGAAACTCGACTGAGTAGTGACCCCTGAGATGCTTATACACCTCAACTAGGTCACCCCTTGCCCGTCTGTAGTATAAGCTAGGTCCATTATTGGGAGGAATTTACTATTGACATGAAAGCCTCAGAAGCACTATGGAACATTTGAAGCTATTAAACAATATATCAATAACTCAAAACAATTAGGGACTTATTCTTGCTGTTTTAATCTCCTGTAGAAGTACCTGCTGGCCTTGGTGACCCCGCTATATGAGGCAGTAGGTTTCGAGGATAATTTGATGGATCCGCAGTTGCAACAGTACAAGAGGGTACTTGCTCTATCCACGGCGTGTAAGCTCGGCCTTCAGGACTGTGTGGACAACGCTGTGAGTCAGTTTCAGGCGTGGATCAACGGCAGGTGAGTCGACCTTAATCTACCTCTCATTATCTACGTCTCAGCTACCTTAACATCTACCTCTCATTATCTACGTCTCAGCTACCTTAACATCTACCTCTCATTATCTACGTCTCAGCTACCTTAACATCTACCTCTCATTATCTACGTCTCAGCTACCTTAACATCTACCTCTCATCATCTACGTCTCAGCTACCTTAACATCTACCTCTCATCATCTACGTCTCAGCTACCTTAACATCTACCTCTCATCATCTACGTCTCAGCTACCTTAACATCTACCTCTCATCATCTACGTCTCAGCTACCTTAACATCTACCTCTCATCCTACGTCTCAGCTACCTTAACATCTACCTCTCATCATCTACGTCTCAGCTACCTTAACATCTACCTCTCATTATCTACGTCTCAGCTACCTTAACATCTACCTCTCATCATCTACGTCTCAGCTACCTTAACATCTACCTCTCATTATCTACGTCTCAGCTACCTTAACATCTACCTCTCATCATCTACGTCTCAGCTACCTTAACATCTACCTCTCATCATCTACGTCTCAGCTACCTTAACATCTACCTCTCATCATCTACGTCTCAGCTACCTTAACATCTACCTCTCATCATCTACGTCTCAGCTACCTTAACATCTACCTCTCATTATCTACGTCTCAGCTACCTTAACATCTACCTCTCATCATCTACGTCTCAGCTACCTTAACATCTACCTCTCATCATCTACCTCATCATCTCCTCCCACAGTGACATCTCTCCCAACCTCAAGTCAACAGTGTTCTGCTATGGTGTTGCATCAGGCGGGGAGGAGGAATGGAATGCCACCTGGTCAAAATACCTCAGCTCTAACGTGGCCACAGAGAAAGAACAGCTTCTCAAGGCTCTGGGCTGCTCCAAACATACGTGGATTCTGAAGCAGTAAGTAGTTTTACCCCAAATATAAATGTGTTCAATTATGTCTCTCTCTCTCTCTCTCTCTCTCTCTCTCTCTCTCTCTCTCTCTCTCTCTCTCTCTCGGTCTGGTATAATTAAATGGTCGCTAATAAACCCTCCTATATTTTGTGTATTAAGAAAAACTACCAAGAGACATGTATCAGAAAATAATACCATGGTGCACAATTTACATACCATTACTACCATGCTTACAGGTACCTGGAAATGGCCTTCACGGAGAATAAGGGCATCAAGAAGCAGGATATAGGGACGGTGTTCAGAGCAGTAGCGGTGAATGAGATTGGTCGCTCGCTGGCACGGAACTATCTGATGAGAAACTGGCTTCATATTAGTCAATAGTAAGTGATGGGGGTGTGGGGATGGGGGGGTGATGGGGTGTGTGGGGATGGGGAGGTGATGGGGGTGTGGGTTGGGGGTGATGGGGTGTGGGTTTGGGGGTGATGGGGGTGTGGGATGGGGGGTGATGGGGTGTGGGGATGGGGGGAGGTGATGGGGTGTGTGGGGATGGGGGTGATAGGGTGTGGGGATGGGGGTGATGATGGGGGTGTGGGGATGGGGTGATGGGGTGTGGGGATGGGGTGATGGGGGTGTGGGGATGGGGGTGGGGGTGTGGGGATGGGGGTGATGGGAGTGTGGCGATGGGGTGATGGGGTGTGTGGGATTGGAATTGATGGGGGTGTGGGGATGGGGGTGATGGGGGTGTGGGTTGGGGTGATGGGGTGTGGGTTGGGGGTGATGGGGGCGGGGGTTGGGGGTGATGGGGGTGGGGATGAAATTGATGGGGTGTGGGTTGGGGATGATGGGGGTGTGGGTTGGGGGTGATGGGGGAACATGGGTTGGGGTGATGAAGTGTGGGTTGTGATGGGGAGTGGGTTGGGGTGATGGGAGTGTGGGTTGAAGGGGGTGATGGGGGAATATGGGTTGGGGGTGATGGGGTGTGGGTTGGGGGTGATGGGGTGTGGATTGGGGGGTGATGGTGTGTGTGGGTTGGGGGTGATGGGGGTGTGGGTTGGGGGGGTAATGGGGGTGTGTGGGTTGGGGGAGTGGGGGTGTGGGTTGGGGGGGGTGATGGGGGTGTGGGTTGGGGGGTGATGGAGGTGTGGGGATGGGGTGTATAGTGGGGATTGAAAAAAAGGGATATGAGGGAGTGTAGTGAGGTGTGATGGAGTGGTGATTCGAGGTGATGGAGAGTGGAGAAGTGTGGGTGGTGAAGTATGGAGGGTGTGGTGATGGGGTATGATGTCGCTGTGAAGGGGTATAAGAGGTGATGGGTAACTGGTGCCCATCAATATTAAACATCAACATTAACATCAATATTAACATTGACATTGTTCTATTACAGCGTGGGATCCATAACACTCTTGGAAGACTTGATCAATGATGTTCTCTCTCAGTGCAACACAGGGGAGGAGAAGGACGAGGTATGTGTACTATAATATGTGTGGTCTTACATGTGTACTATAATATGTGTGGTCGTACATGTGTACTATATTATGTGTGGTCTTACATGTGTACTATAATATGTGTGGTCTTACATGTGTACTATAATATGTGTGGTCTTACATGTGTACTATAATATGTGTGGTCTTACATGTGTACTATAATATGTGTGGTCTTACATGTGTACTATAATATGTGTGGTCTTACATGTGTACTATAATATGTGTGGTTTTACTATAATATGTATGGTCTTACATGTGTACTATAATATGTGTGGTCTTACATGTGTACTATAATATGTGTGGTCTTACATGTGTACTATAATATGTGTGGTCTTACATGTATACTATAATATGTGTGGTCTTACATGTGTACTATAATATGTGTGGTCATACATGTGTACTATATTATGTGTGGTTTTACATGTGTACTATAATATGTATGGTCTTACATGTGTACTATAATATATGTACTATAATATGTGTACTATAATATGTGTGGTCTTACATGTGTACTATAATATGTATGGTCTTACATGTGTACTATAATATGTGTGGTCTTACATGTGTACTGTAATATGTATGGTCTTACATGTGTACTATAATATATGTACTATAATATGTGTACTATAATATGTGTGGTCTTACATGTGTACTATAATATGTGTGGTCTTACATGGGTACTATATTATGTGTGGTTTTACATGTGTATTATAATGTGTCGTCTTACATGTGTACTATAATATGTGTGGTCTTACATGTGTACTATAATATGTGTGGTCTTACATGTGTACTATAATATGTGTGGTCTTACATGTGTACTATATTATGTGTGGTCTTACATGTGTACTATAAAATGTGTGGTCTTACATGTGTACTATAATATGTGTCGTCTTATATGTGTACTATAATATGTGTGGTCTTACATGTGTGCTATAATATGTGTGGTCTTACATGTGTACTATAATATGTGTGGTCTTACATGTGTACTATAATATGTGTGGTCTTACATGTGTGCTATAATATGTGTGGTCTTACATGTGTACTATAATATGTGTGGTCTTACATGTGTACTATAATATGTGTCGTCTTACATGTGTACTATAATATGTGTGGTCTTACATGTGTGCTATAATATGTGTGGTCTTACATGTGTGCTATAATATGTGTGGTCTTACATGTGTACTATAATATGTGTGGTCTTACATGTGTACTATAATATGTGTGGTCTTACATGTGTACTATAATATGTATGGTCTTACATGTGTACTATAATATGTATGGTCTTACATGTGTACTATAATATGTGTCGTCTTACATGTGTACTATAATATGTGTGGTCTTACATGTGTACTATAATATGTGTGGTCTTACATGTGTACTATAATATGTGTGGTCTTACATGTGTACTATAATATGTGTGGTCTTACATGTGCACTATAATATGTGTGGTCTTACATGTGTACTATAATATGTGTGGTCTTACATGTGCTATATTATGTGTGGTCTTACATGTGTACTATAATATGTGTGGTCTTACATGTGTGCTATAATATGTGTGGTCTTACATGTGTACTATAATATGTGTGGTCTTACATGTGTACTATAATATGTATGGTCTTATGTGTACTATAATATGTGTGGTCTTACATGTGTACTATATATGTATGTGGTCTTACATGTGTACTATAATATGTGTGGTCTTACATGTGTACTATAATATGTGTGGTCTTACATGTGTACTATAATATGTATGGTCTTACATGTGTACTATAATATGTGTGGTCTTACATGTGTACTATAGTATGTGTGGTCATACATGTGTATTATAATGTGTCGTCTTACATGTGTACTATAATATGTGTGGTCATACATGTGTACTATAATATGTGTGGTCTTACATGTGTACTATAATATGTGTGGTCTTACATGTGTACTATAATATGTGTGGTCTTACATGTGTACTATAATATGTGTGGTCTTACATGTGTACTATAATATGTGTGGTCTTACATGTGTACTATAGTATGTGTGGTCATACATGTGTATTATAATGTGTCGTCTTACATGTGTACTATAATATGTGTGGTCATACGTGTGTACTATAATATGTGTGGTCTTACATGTGTACTATAATATGTGTGGTCTTACATGTGTACTATAATATGTGTGGTCTTACATGTGTACACTATAATATATGTGTGGTCTTACATGTGTACTATAATATATGTGTGGTCTTACATGTGTACTATAATATGTGTAGTCTTACATGTGTACTATAATATGTGTGGTCTTACATGTGTACTATAATATGTGTGGTCTTTCATGTGTACTATATTATGTGTGGTCTTACATGTGTACTATAATATGTGTGGTCTTACATGTGTACTATAATATGTGTGGTCTTACATGTGTACTATAATATGTGTGGTCTTACATGTGTACTATAATATGTGTGGTCTTACATGTGTATTATAATGTGTAGTCTTACATGTGTACTATAATATGTGTGGTCTTACATGTGTACTATAATATGTGGTCTTACATGTGTATTATAATGTGTAGTCTTATGTGTACTATAATATGTGTGTGGTCTTACATGTGTGCTATAATATGTGTGGTCTTACATCTGTACTATAATATGTGTGGTCTTGTGTGTGCTATAATATGTGTGGTCTTACATGTGTATTATAATGTGTAGTCTTGTGTGTACTATAATATGTGGTCTTATGTGTACTATATGTGTGTAGTCTTACATGTGTATTATAATGTGTAGTCTTACATGTGTACTATAATATGTGGTCTTGTGTACTATAATGTGTGGTCTTACATGTGTACTATAATATGTGTGGTCTTACATGTGTACTATAATATGTGTGGTCTTACATGTGTACTATAATATGTGTGGTCTTACATGTGTACTATAATATGTGTGGTCTTACATCTGTACTATAATATGTGTGGTCTTACATGTATACTATAATATGTGTGGTCTTACATGTGTATTATAATGTGTAGTCTTACATGTGTACTATAATATGTGTGGTCTTACATGTGTACTATAATATGTGTGGTCTTACATGTGTATTATAATGTGTAGTCTTACATGTGTACTATAATATGTGTGGTCTTACATGTGTACTATAATATGTGTGGTCTTACAGTGTACTATAATATGTGGGTCTTTTACATGTACTATAATATGTGTGGTCTACATGTGTACTATAATATGTGTGTATTCATATGTGTACTATAATATGTGTGGTCTTACATGCATTATAATATGTGGTCTTACATGTGTACTATAATATGTGGAATGTAAAACAGTGATGTGTGGTCTACATGTGTACTATAATGTGTGTGGTCTTACATGTGTACTATAATGTGTGGTCTTACATGTGTGTACTATAATATGTGTGGTCTTACATGTGTATTATAACGTGTGGTCTTACATGTGTACTATAATATGTGTGGTCTTACATGTGTACTATAATATGTGTGGTCTTACATGTGTACTATAATATGTGTGGTCTTACATGTGTACTATAATATGTGTGGTCTTACATCTGTACTATAATATGTGTGGTCTTACATGTATACTATAATATGTGTGGTCTTACATGTGTATTATAATGTGTAGTCTTACATGTGTACTATAATATGTGTGGTCTTACATGTGTACTATAATATGTGTGGTCTTACATGTGTATTATAATGTGTAGTCTTACATGTGTACTATAATATGTGTGGTCTTACATGTGTACTATAATATGTGTGGTCTTACATGCGTACTATATTTTGTGTACTATAATATGTGTACTTTTATATGTATATTTCACGTATGAAGTGTCCTGTACTGAATATACTCACACCTGTGTCCTGATACTAGTGTCATAATGGCTGTTTACCCATTAATAGTGACCTTGTTTACCCCTTAGTAATATTCTTGTTTACACCTTAATAATAGTCTTTTTTATCCCTAAATAAAACGTCTTGATAATAATTTGTTTACGTCTTAATTATTTATTTATCTCTTAATAATTATCTGTTTAACTCTTAACTATTATATATTCACCTCTTAATTATTTGTTTGCCTTTTAATTTTGTTTACCTCTTAATAATTATCTATTCACTTCTTAATTATTTGTTTACCTCTTAATTCTGTTTACGACTTACCAATGGTCTTGTGATACGCCCCCAGCTGGAGAGACTGTACGCCATCTTCCAGGGCTCGCTAGGGTCCGCCACAAGGTTCATACAACAAATCCTGGAGACCATCACGAACAACGTGGCTTGGATGGACCGTAACTATAGCACCATCGTCGCTTGGCTCAACACAAACGGCTACTCTGCTGGTTTCACCAGATAGCTGTAGGGGAAGAGAAAAAAGATATGGTCGTAGTTGTGTCTCGTCTCATATCTCTCGTGTATAAATTAAGAGATGGATGACGACCACAGTATCACCTGGTCTCGTGTACGACTTAGAGATGGATGACTACCACAGTATCACCTGGTTTCGTGTCTCCTGGACGACTTTGCCTTCATTGCAGACGACTACCACACTGCATCTTTGAAATTCATACTGTTATGATTATTCCATCCAAGTATTCTCCAGAAGAACAAACATAGTCTTATTATTGTTCCATTTCTATGTTATTCTGTCATCGTCACCGTTGCACCTACACTCGTCTATAATGTTCAATCGCACATAAAACAGAATTTTCGTGAGTTACCCATATCCAAGTTTTCTTTACTACTATACTAGTGTCAGAGAAAACGATATTGGAGTAATTCGTGAAAATATTATGTTTTATGGGCGATTGAGCATAATATGAACGAGTGAGGGTACTAATAATTATAATATAGGTGCAACTTTGACTATAGCAGCTTAGGATGATTATTTTATAGAGCAATATTTATCCTAAATATATTAAACTATTCAACAAATATTTCTCTAATGAAAGAATTAATGTACTGTATGTGATTCTAATGATTATTTCTTAAACTCAGGTGAATATATTCAGGTATTTTATCAAGAAGGAGACGAACGAGTGTAGATTAAGTCATTTATGCATATAATATTGGAACAGTAAATCCCATTTTAGCGACAGTATTATTGAAGTGGTGCCTTAAGCTAAATGTATATAGAAATTTATTATAAAACCTCCAATCATATATAATGATGCCTTAACCTATATATATATATATATATATATATATATATATATATATATATATATATATATATATATATATATATATATATATATATATATATATATATATATATATATATATATATATATATATATATATATATATATATATATATATATATATATATATATTTAAACCTATAGACATACCTCTAACTTCCTTAACTATATAACTACCTCAACACCTAGGTTATAGGATCTTGACACTTATTGATTCTTGAGTATGTTAATCCTGTGACTTTGTTCAATGTTTGTATTTTTTAACCTAAGACAAATGTATTTATCTTCCCTGTTTGCTTGTGGGATAATATTGCATGTTCCGTTGTTTTATTCAGAGGTGCAGGTGCAGTGTTCGATAAATGTTCCGTAAGTTAAGATTTATGTTAACAGTAGCCTAAAGTAACCAAATATGTCAGCTTTTCTTGAAGTGTTAATTAACTGTTAACTTGTGACTAATGTTAATTCTCGCGGTTTGTGATTATATTTTTAATTTTGTGATCAGCTTGAGGTGTGTGTGTGTGTGTGGTCTATAAACCTTTAAAAAAGTACAAAACTCAAAATATTTCACATTCTTGATTACTGAATACAAAAAAAATGAATAATTATAATTTTTTGAATAAACTCGATGATTGAATGATCATTTTAAATAAAGTTAACATGAGATTTTGATTCGCTATGTTACAACCCTGAGCACAAACACCTCACTCTGCGGTTCAACATAAGAGTATAAACGAACAACATTTGTAAACACTTCGCCGTCAACTTCGCATGGTGACGTGAACGTGGTGAAGGGGGGTGTGGATGTATTTATTTGTTTTAACTATAGACTAACCAACGACGTTCAAACTCTACAGAATGCTTGGCCTACTCGCGTAAAAAATCCCAGAATATTTCGAGAAAAGTCAAAATTTTTCATCCAAACAATCAACATTCCCTCAGGTTTGATTAAAGTTTGGTTAGCTTTGGTTAGGTTAGGGCTTGATATAAATTTAAGTTAAGGTTACCACAAGATATAAAAAAAAACCACACACAAAAAACAGAATTACCTTTAACAGTCTTCACATTTGACTATGGCTAAGCAACACCTAATACCCACCGTCTATTATTACAAAACTCTCAAATTCTTATATCACTTAAATTCCTTCTAGACACTTACTAGATGATAATTTAATGAATAAACTTTTTTTTTTATTTCTGGTCACTTGAGTATCTATCTTCGGTGGCGCAATCTGATTATGATGGTTGATACCACATGCCTCAGCTAACACGAATGAGTGAAACACGTCATCAGCCTTCATCACTCTCTTGTCCAACCAGCAGAGTCTCACAGCACCAGAGGGCAGTGAGTGAGTGTGGGTGAGTGAGTGAGTGAGTGAGTGACCAGGCGGGTGAAGAAGAATAACATGGTGGTGTTGGTCAAATATCTAATCGAGTAATGAACCTTGACTGTGTCTGGAAACTTTGCATAGTGTATTATATAGTAAATTAAGTCACCAGGGTACCAGTTCACCAGGTTACGAGGACACCAGGTACCAGTTCACCAGGATACGAGGACACCAGGTACCAGTTCACTAGTCTACAAGGACACCAGGATACCAGTTTACCAGGTTACGAGGACACCAGATAACCAGTTCACCAAGTTACGTGGACACCAGGTACCAGTTCACTAGGATAAGAGGACACCAGGATACCAGTTTACCAGGTTACGAGGACACCAGGTACCAGCTCACTAGTCTACGAGGACACCAGGATACCAGTTTACCAGGTTACGAGGACACCAGGTACCAGCTCATCAGTCTACGAGGACACCAGGATACCAGCTTACCAGGTTAAGGAGGACACCAGGATACTAGCTTACTAGGTTACGAGGACACCAGATAACCAGTTCACTGGGGTTACGGAGGACACCAGGTACCAGCTCACTAGTCTACGAGGACACCAGGATACTAGCTTGGCCAGGTTACGAGGAGGACACTAGGATACTAGCTTACCAGGTTACGAGGACAGCTCAGCCACTAGTCTACGAGACACCAGGATACCAGCTTACCAGGTTACGAGGACACCAGGATACCAGCTTACCAGGTTACGAGGACACCAGGATACCAGTCTACCAGGTTACGAGGACACCAGGTACTGTTCACTCAAGCTATGTGGGATACCAGGTACCAGTTCACTAGGATAAGAGGACACCAGGATACCAGTTTGGCCAGGTTACGAGGACACCAGGCAGTTCAGTTCACTGGTGTTACGAGGACACCAGGTACCAGTTCAATAGTTACGTGGACACCAGGTACCAGTTCACCAGATGGGAAGAGGACACCAGGATACCAGTTTAACAGGTTGTTGAGGACACCAGGTACCAGTTCACTAGGATAAGAGGACACCAGGATACCAGTTCACCAGGTTACGAGGACACCAGGTACCAGCTCACTAGTCTACGAGGACACCAGGATACCAGTTTACCAAGTTACGAGGACACCAGATACCAGTTTACCAGGTTACGAGGACACCAGGATACCAGTTTACCAGGTTACGAGGACACCAGGATACCAGTTTACCAGGTTACGAGGACACCAGGTACCAGTTCACTAGGATAAGAGGACACCAGGATACCAGTTTACCAAGTTACGAGGACACCAGGATACCAGTTTACCAGGTTACGAGGACACCAGTTCACCAGTACTAGTTCACCAGGTAATGAGGACACCAGGGTACTAATTCACCAGGTAATGAGGACACCAGGTCATCCGGTTATCAGGTCACCAGATTAACAGGTTACCAAGTTGCCAGGTCGTCAGGCCAGTATATTGATAGTCATGTGAGTAAGGGGTCGATTAGCTGATAACAGATAACAGTATAAACATGTCGAGTGATAGTGTTACGTTTAGCTCCGATAAATAACTTAAGGATTACATAAGAATATACGAATGGAGGGAGCCGCAGCTGATCTATTGGTCCGTACTGGGCATTTGAAGCTATCAGCGTGTTCAGAGTTAATGACGATATTGTAACTTGTTCCCTCGTCCACTTTAAAAAGACCAAATGCTAGACATTAATTTAATCAGATTTTGGGGACTCTGTCAGAAGGCTGAAGTTGAGGTATGATTAGACATAAACAATTTGTGTTTCTCCAGGTGATTTTGAATAGAGTTTGAAATTATTTCTTCCAGCAATTTGCCTGCAATTGATGTTAGACTGATTGGACGGTAGTTAGAAGATAGTGATCTATCTCCCTCCTTGAAAATTGGTAACACATTCGTTATCCTTCGCGATTCTGGCACTACACCCGTTTTTAATGACATGTTAAACAAATTTGCCAAGGGCATACGAAGCTCTTCCTAACATTCCTTTAATACTCTGGCACATACTATTATCATATGCGTTTAATTCGTATTTTAGCCTTTTATGTGGACTCTTTAAGAATCTACGGAACGTTTTCAATACTCGCAGGAATAACAAACTTTCATCGGAGGTAAACGTTGCCTGGGTTGAATATAAGTACGAGAAATATTAACAACTCTTCTTGTTTGTTTACTTGTGGTAACAGTGACCTCATATGTATAAGGGAAATGAATGTATAAGTGGAGGTACTGAAGTTAAGGAAACAAATATGACTCACTCTGGGACTATAGAGAGTGTAGTCTTGTAGCAGTGAGGAATTTGTGAGGAGAGTGTAGTCTTGGAGGAGTCTTCTAGGTGTGAGGGAGAGTGTAGTGTCTTGTAGGAGTGAGGGAGAGTGTAAGTCTTGTAGGTGAGGGGGAGTCTTGTAGGTGTGAGGGAGAGTGTAGAGTCTTGTAGGTGTGAGGGAGAGTGTAGAGTCTTGTAGCAGTGAGCGAGAATGTAGAGTCTTCTAGGTGTGAGGGAGAGTGTAGTGTCTTGTAGGAGTGAGGGAGGGTGTAGAGTCTTGTAGGTGTGAGGGAGTGTGTAGAGTCTTGTAGGTGTGAGGAGTGTGGGTCTTGTGCAGTGAGTGGCTGGGAGGGAGTGGGCGAGTGTGGTCGGGTGAAGGGGGGTGTCTGTGAGGAGAGTGTAGTCTTGTAGCAGTGAGGAGAGTGTAGAGTCTTGTAGGTGTGAGGGAGGTGTAGAGTCTTGTAGCAGTGAGCGAGAATGTAGAGTCTTCTAGGTGTGAGGGAGGAGTGTAGTGTCTTGTAGGAGTGAGGGAGAGTGTAGAGTCTTGTGGGTGTGAGGGAGAGTGTAGAGTCTTGTAGGGTGAGAGAGTGTAGATCTTGTAGGTGTGAGGAGAGTGTGAGTCTGTGCAGTGAGGAGTGAGGTAGGCTTGGGAGGGTGAGTTTGTGGTGTGAGGAGAGTGTAGAGTCTTGTAGGTGTGAGGGAGAGTGTAGAGTCTTGTAGCAGTGAGGGAGAGTGTAGTGCCTTGTAGGGTGTGAGGGAGAGTGTAGTGTCTTGTAGGAGTGAGGAGAGGTGTAGTGTCTTGTAGGAGTGAGGAGGTGTAGTGTCTTGTAGGGTGAGGTGTCTTGTAGGAGTGAGGGAGTGTAGTGTCTTGTAGGAGTGAGGGAGGGTGGAGTGTCTTGTAGGGTGAGGGAGAATGTAGTCTTGTAGCAGTGAGGGAGGTGTAGTGCCTTGCAGGTGTGAGGGAGAGTGTAGTGTCTTGTAGGAGTGAGGGAGAGTGTAGAGTCTGGTAGGAGTGAGGGAGGTCTGGTGTGAGGAGAGTGTAGTCTTGTAGCAGTGAGGGAGAGTGTAGTGCCTTGCAGGTGTGAGGAGAGTGTAGAGTCTTGTAACAGTGAGGGAGAGTGTAGTGTCTTGTAGGTGTGAGGGGAGTGTAGTCTTGTAGGAGTGAGGGAGAGTGTAGAGTCTTGTAGGGTGAGGGAGAGTGTAGTGTTTTGTAGGTGTGAGGGAGGTGTAGTGTCTTGTAGCAGTGAGGGAGGTGGTCTTGTAGGAGTGAGGGAGAGTGTAGTGTCTTGGTGAGGGAGAGTGTAGTGTCTTGTAGGTGTGAGGAGAGTGTAGTCTTGTAGGTGTGAGGA